AAATTTTTTTAGATTAATATTTATTAAATAATAATACAATTTTTAATTTTTTAAAAAAATTTTCCAAAAAATTTTGGGTACCACTGTATATATATTTTTTTTTTAAACCAAAGTTCGAAAATAAAATTCTTATATTGAAACCTTTTAATAAATTTTATATTATATCAACTAATTCTTACTAAAAAAAATCACTATACTTATCAATACGACATATACAATATATGATTAGATATGAGAATATACAATCAATATATACATTAAATTTAATAGACATTTAAAAATTCACGTATTTCCAAGTAAGAATCAAATTTTAACATGATCGTGAAGTTCCTGTGTAATTTGATCGCTCCCCTCACCAAGATTATTCTCTAAGATTTCGTATTCCCTACCATCTTTATGGTGCAATAATTTGACATAATCGATATGCTATTGTACAAAAATTGGTAATTACTTGAAGTAATAGATAATGCGAAAAAATTATTTAGGATAAACAAAACAGAAAATTTACTTACCACACCGCTTTTCTGAGATCCATCATGATTGTATATAATACATCTAACGTCGTACCAAACGTATTCTCCATTAACAACCTTTTCTTTAGGTACATCAATTTGGTATGGTAAGCAATACTCGGCCCAGGTTCCTTTTGATTTAATGTTTCTAAATAAACTAGAATCCGCCACGTGGTTTTTTTCATGAACAACCGTTTCAGGAGTATCTAATTCCTCGTAGCTCTATTTTCGTTGACATAAAATCATATAAATTTCTTTCGTCAATATTGAATTGAATTTACGTTAAATGTACAAATCATAATTATTTAATTTCAATTGGTGCAGTAGGCACTTACATTGACTAGAACTTGTGTCTTAAAATCTAACCCATCCAAGCCAAAGTTTCTTTCATCAACCTTTAATCTCCAGATAACATCATACGTTCCAGGCTGAACGCATTTCAACGTCGCTATTACCTATTAACACGAATCAGATACATGGTAACCCAAACATTGTAATAAGTAAATTGTAAGTGTAAAAGAAACGGAATCATATGTGATCACTTACATCAAACCACCACACATAATTGAGGTGAACTATTTTTCCATATGCACTATTGCAACCATAAGAGGTTAAAAAACTATGCATTGATGACCATACTA